ACTTTTAGAATCAGACTCTAGATGGTGGTTACTGGAGAACAATGATGAGGAGACCACTGTCTGTGGCCTTCTCAGGGCATCTGGCTTGTTAACATAGGAGACAAGTCACTGAATTTGTAGAAACTCCATTCCTGGTGGCATAGTGGTTAAAATGCAGTATTGCAAGCTAATTCTGCTCATAACCAGGAGTTTGATCCTGATGGGGCTTGAGGTTGACTCAGCCTTCTGTCCTTCCGAGATCGGTAAAATGAAGACCCAGATGGTTGGGAGAGAGAATATGCTGACATTGTAAACCATCCAGAGAGCACTGGAAAGCACTATGAGGCACTATACATAGTATGTCTAAGTACTATTGCTATTGCTAATCAGATCTAGCATTTTTTTTAAGCATGTTCCTAATCCATAATAAAAACAAGTTTATGGCTTATATATGGCATCACTGTTTGGAGAAGGCCATGCCCAAGTGTTACAAGCACAACCTGTTCTCTTACTGGTGTGTGGGTGCTAGATTTGTTGACAACAAATGATTGTGAGATGAAAGGGATGCCGTTTCTAGTGTTACATCTGTAACAACTTGATCCCAGATGCAAGTTATCTTACCAGTCCTGCTGTGATCAAGATGGAACGTGCATACTCAAATTAGCAGCAATTGCTCCCTTAAAAAAATCCACCGCCAATGTCTCAGTTCTTTCTTTTTGCTTGTTTTGTCTGGGATTTCTCATTAGAAGCTTGATCTGTTCATTCTATAAAACAAGACTAGGGAGAGATGACCCAATTGCTCTATGCTGTTGTACAGACATGTTACAGAGGAGGGACTTGTCAATCTTGTAAACACACACAATTCAGAAATGCCTCTTGCAGGCAAAACTAGAATAATCCAGTCTCAGAAGGCAAGGATAATTTCCATTGCAATTGCTTACCCATACAAATCATCATCAACGTGTTTGGCAGAATTAAATGGAGAGATGTGATCTATTCGGACAATTAATGTGATGTTGCTAGGCTGAATCAAATAAACCACAATAACCTGTTCCAGTCCAGGGCACACAAACCCAGAGTATATTCTCCTTGTGACAAACTTAGGTAACTAACTTAGCTGGCCCAAGAACAGCAAACAAAGTTAATTTTGTATCGATTGCAGGCACTAAGTAAAAATGTCACACTGATGGAAATGGCAAAAATCTAATGATGGAAGGAGGACTATGACGGTGGGCATGACTGTCACTGAGAAAATGTCAGCAGGTCAGAATGATACTTATTAGTTTGAGACCAAATGAGCAAAGGGTGGTAATCACCTCAAGACAGATCTCAATGGAAATAAAAAAAATCTTTTAGAGACACAAGCAAAACCATCCTTGTCTACCAGGGACTCAATTACTGCTCTGTTTGGGACATTTTCTGCTTAATGATTTTTGCACCCACCCAATCATTTGGAATAATTTCCAAACATGTGAGAAATGACATACTGGAAGGCAGCCTTCTTATATTTTGAAGGAAAACCAACAAGTCATAACTAACATGAATGTTATGATCCAGTTGAGGATCTTTCCTCCAAAACCTAATGTAGCACAAGCCTTGCTTTCCCATCCCCATCACTCCAATGGTTGTAGTCCAGGACTGCCTGCCTATACACTAACGCACAGGTCGGCAACCTGCGGCTCCAGAGCCGCATGCGGCTCTTTGAGCCTTCCCTGTGGCTCCCAGCCTCCTCTGCCATTTGCAGAGAGAGACAGAGAGAGGCAATTGCGCTCCCCTGCTTCTCTCTCTCTCTCTCTCTGTGTGTGTGTGTGTGTGTGTTTGTGTGTGAAAAAGAAAGTGGACTCACAGTGTTCTTCAAGGAGCTGAAAAGCTTATTGGGCTGAGCTCCTCCCTTTGCTGCGTCTCTGCAGGAAACAGGAAGCAGGAAGGGCAGGAGAGAGCTAGCTAGCCCAGCTATGCTGACTCAGGAATTCTGGGAGTTGAAGTCCATGAGTCATAAAAGAGCCCAGGTTGCCTACCCCTGAGTTTGTTGGAGAACAGCTTGAAGCCAGCTTGCCAGGTGAGCAGCAGATAGGAGAGAGGGAGGGGGGGGAGAGAAAGAGAGAGAGAGAGGGAAGGAGAGACAGAGAGAGGAAAGAGAGAGAAAGAAAGAGAGTGGGGGAAGAGGACTGGCAGACCAAGGGCAGATAGAGGGAGAGGGAGGGAGAGAGAGAGAGAGAGACCCTTTTGACATCTAAAATGAAGATAACACTGCATATATCCTTTTTTACCTGTGTGTGTGTGTATGTATGTATACACACACACACACACACACACACACACACCTGTATTAAAGGTAAAAAAGGATATATGCAGTGTTATCTACCTGTGTGTGTGTGTGTGTGTGTGTGTGTATACACACACACACACACACACACATACCTGTATTAAAGGTAAAAAAAGGATACATGCAGTGTTATCTTCATTTTGGATATCAAAAGGGTTTTGCGGCTCCCGGTGTTTTGTTTTCGGTGGGAAACGGGTCCAAGTGGCTCTTTGAGTGTTTTGGGTTGCCTACCCCTGCGCTAGAGTATTATTTCCATGGAAACTGACATCACTATTTGTCTTGCACATTGCAGAAACAGAACATGGAGCCCAGCAACGATCTGTGGCTGCCCATTTCGTGTATTGGAGCTCCCACTGTTTGCAGCTGCAAGATGCCTTGACATTTGAGGACTAGTTCCAACTCACCTGAAGGCCTAGATTGGGGAAGGTGGCCCTGTCTTTTCTCTACCAGAGAACCAAGTATATGAAGGCACTGCAGGAGCCAGATAGCCAGTCTGCTTGCCTTTCCATCGTATCATATAACGTAATAACCAGTGGTGGGATTCAGCCGGTTCGCACCACTTCGGCAGAACCGGTAGCTAATTTTTGGTTGCCCAGGCCCAGAATGGACTTCCGGAAGCGGCATCCACACAGAGAACCGGCTGTTCACATATTTGAATCCCACCACTGGTCATAACACTATGCCAAGCAAACTTGCAACACCTCCACCCCACCCTAGTCTGTTTCCACAGAACCACTTGATCATCCCAAGTCAGGCCCTTATACTCAGCTTCTCCCAGCTGGATCCACTGAATAGATCCCAGAGTCAAACTAAGGATGCCTGATCTTTCTTTTGCAAAGAAAGTCCAGTTGCCTTTCGAGAGATGGGGGGAGGGGAAAAGCTCCTTTGGGACAACCATGCCTGAGAATCTCCATTGACAGAAGGATGCCCGCTTCTCTCAGCATTGTGCGTCCAAGAAGAAAAGCAGGGGATACACAGGAAGGGATGGCATTGGATTCGGAGGCTCGAAGCCAAGCCCTGCTGGATCCCAGATCTTTTCCCGGGATCCTTTCAGGCTTCTTGAGAACAATGGAAGGGAAAGCAGGTCCAGGAGCGCCGGCTTTTGCCCACCCTCCTTTACACCCGCGCTTCCTCAGCGGCTCGACTCTTGTGGAAAACGAAAGGGACTTTTACGAATTCCAGAGGGTTTAGCAGAGAGATTTATTGCGCAGGTTCAGACGCAGTAGAGACAAGCAATTCTGAACCCCAAAGGCAGGTTCAGACTAGTTTTATACATTCCTTTTCTCAGGAACAAAGAACTAGACATAGAAATCTACATTGTAATACATTAGGTTAGCTTCTCACGGGCATACAATGGAGAGTTTGCTACATACATTGTTTCCAAGTGCAATGCGCATTTGGTTAGCCAAATATTACTGACACAGCATTATTCCAGTAATTATGCAGACACATTATTATTTTAGTGATTTTTTCATTATTATTATTATTATTATGGATCATCGCACAGTCAGCCAGATGTTCAGACTGGATTTGGCATTTTGTCTACCTATCGAGTCCTTACCCAGGACCTGGGAGAGGCAGATATGGCTGTTTGATGGTATTACAGATATCGTCGCAGGATGGAAGCAGTTCCTAGTAAGGCCGCCTTTTGCAATTGACTAATAGCGAATTTGTCAATGCCAATGGTGTTCAAGTGGTGCTCCAGTTGGTTTGGGATTGCAGCCAAGGAGCCTATTACTATTGGTACTACCCTTGCTTGCTTTTGCCACAGTCTTTGCAGTTCATCCAATTTTGTTTCTGTGAATATTTTATTTCGTATTATAAATCGGCATTGATCTGCTAGTCTCTGTTCTGTTATTTCTGATTCTGGATGTTGTTCTTTCCAGAACTGGTGCATTTGTTTTAGATATCCTCTTCTTGTTGGACTTGATCTGTAGTAACAGATCATTATTTCTTTGTTTTCCATCACTGTGTATCTGCGACGGGTAAACACCTTTTCTTCCAGTAGTTCTGCAGATGCTGGCCCTGGTTGCTCAGCCAACAGTCCTGAGTCCTGTAACCCATTTATCACCAGATATCCAGGAACTCCAATATCTAGCGCGGACCTTGTTAACCTGGGCGACATCCGAGCCGGTATGGCATTCTGAAATTTACGTCTCACCATATTTTTTATGGGAGAGACACTCTTTGTCTGACTCCTCTGATGAGACCTGTCCAGTATGGTTGAACCTCTGGCATAGCTCTCATCTTCCTCAGAGTGCACAAGCCCCACAACCATGTCAAGGTAGTGCCTCACTGGGGGGCTATTATTATTATTATTATTATTATTATTATTATTATTATTATTATTATTATTCCACATTATTCTACCTTACGACTGCCCCGATTATCCCTCAGAAAGGGCCCAGCGCCTAAGCCGGCCAGCCGGGCCTCCCTGGCACGTGCCCCGCCGCTGCGTCGCACGCGGCCGGTGCTTCTCTCCCGCCTCGCCCCGCGGGCAGCTGGGGCTGCGAGCCCGCCAGAGGCTCTTTGGTCGAGCCAGGCGGGGAGCGGGGCAGGCCTAGCAGAGGTCAAGGCAGCCCTCCTCGCCCCCTCTCGCCTCGCCACCCACCCTCCCTCGCCCGGAAAGCCGGAGGCGATGAGGCGCCCGGGCGGCCTTGGGCAAGCCCTCCCCGCGGCCTTGGGCCCTTCTTACCAGCTGTCCCTGGAGAAGGAGCGGAGGAAGCGGATGCCCGGCGCGGGGATGGCCCGCATGGCTGCTGAGGGAGAGGCGGCGAGGGCGAAGCAAGAGCCGCCGGCCGGCCGGGGACTCGATTGGCTGGTTGGCTGCTAGTGCGGGAGGCGACCGCGCGGGTTCTTCTCTCGGAGCCGGAGGCGCGCGGTCGGGCCGGCTCTTGCTTGGTTCCCGCGGCGGCAGCGGCGGCTGGCGCTACTTCGGGCTGAGTCCCGGCTGGCATTTAAATGCCCTGCTGGAGGCCAGCCGCCGGGCACCCGCCGGTGATTCAAGGCCACTGCCCCGCCCCGCCCCGGCGCGGGCAGGGCCAGGGCGAGACGGGGAGCTGCCCGCTTGGGCTGTCCCTCCCTTCCCCTCCCCTGCCCGAGTCGTTGGAGATGGGCAAGCCGGAGCGGCGCGCTCCAGATGCTGGGCTTGCAGCCTCCACCTGGCCCGGCCAGGGAGCAAAGATGGGAGAAGCCGTGGCTGCCTTCTGCCCGCGGAGCCTGCGACCCTTTTGGTCCGGATGGGCTGGGTCGCCACCGGCATCACCCGTTGGAGCTTCTGTAGGTGGGGGCCACCGGGGGGGGGGCTTTTCTTGGCCAAGCACCGCGAAGCCCCCGGGCACCGACCGAGCCGATTTAAAAAAACGTAGGTAAAGGATCGTTTCTTAAGTCATCCTTTGGACCATTCCATTGCCCTTTTGAGACCTGACGGAAACATGGACAAAGTCAGGGAAAGTCAAAGTCACCTTAAAGGCCAAGGATCTTCTCTGCCAACCAACTGGAGGGAGATGGGGGTAGAGATCTTGGGGTGACCAAAGTCATCCAATGAATTTCCTCAGTTGGAGGCAGATTGGAGCCTGGATCTTTCCAACCTTACTCCAGCATCTTAATCCCAACCCAGTATCTTAACCATTACATCACACTGTTAGATTGTACAGGTATTCCTCGGCTTACAACATTTCGTTTAGTGACCAATGGCACTGAAAAAAAGGGACTTATGACCATTTTCACACTTAACGACCGTTGCAGCATCCCCATGGTCACTTGGGATGCTTGGCAACTGACTCATATTCATGACCGTTGCAGTGTTCAGGGGTCATGTGTTGCCCCTTTTGACAAGCAAAGTCAAGGGGGAAGGCAGATTCCCTTAAGAACTGTGTTACTAATTGAACAAGTGCAGTGATTCACTTAACAACTGTGGCAAGCAAGGTCAAAAAAATGGGGCAAAACTCGCAAATGTCTCACTTAGCAACACATATTTTGGGCTCCACTGTGGTGCTACGTTGAGGACAACCTGTACCAAACACACAGGTGGATTATAGTGATGGTTTTCTTATCCATGAAACCCACTGTCGGCAACATGTACATATATATGTACCCACATCTCTCCAATGGAGATGCATTCGGAGGCTGTTTCTGAGTGCTGAATTTGATTTTTTTCCCCCCTCCAAAGAATGATGCTCAAGGCTTCCAGTGCTCAGAATAAAATCACAGGCTTTTGTGAAATAGATTGGCTATGAAAAACACTGATTTACAGGAAGAGTTCAGTGAAAAATGAAAACTCTCTCGCCACTTATTTTCTGTTAGAATGATTCAAGTATTCATGCTACTGATTTGATTTTATTCCTTTGATTTTTGGGAGAAAATGTAAGTTAAGATAATAGAGAAAATAGTATGCCATTCCCCCCCCCCCTAAATTTCTTTAATTTCTTTTTTAAACTAGATCAAGGATCTTATGAGAGAGAAGTATAATAAGCACATGATTAACCTTTCCAGCAACAGAAACTAAAATAGAATCCAAATGGAAAAATGATGTTTTTTTGGGTAGGACAGCTTGCAAAGAAAGAGCATGGAATTCAGTGCCCATGGTAAATTTTACTCATTTGATAGGGTTTAGAAAAGGCAGAAACCCCCTCCCCCCCATTTACAGATACTTGGATTTTCCTTGCTCTCCTTTCATCTTCTGAAATAAAAGAACAGGACAAAATGTAACTAATGAATAATTGCATTAGCTTTCTTTGAATACATGCCTTTTGTATTTAAGTGAATGATAATCACTCGCCCCCTGAGATTGTATCACAAAAAGGTCATTAACTACTTGTACATTTCATTTCCCCACCCCCACCCTGTCAGTCTGGGGGCAGTTTAAAGACAATTCCCCTTACCATTTATTTGGTAGGATAGCTTTCTCTTCTATTTGCTATCCTCTGATGTGGTGAGATTAGAACACCCAAAATATCTATCAGATTGGCTATCTGGGAGTTTTTGCTACTGCAACTCCACATCTGATGGACACAGTTGGAGAAGACTCCACAAGAGAGTTTATGCAAAATAACAATTACTTTAAAAAAAAAACTTTCCACCCATCCATCTTTCTCTTTTTATAAACCATTAGTCTTTTTTTTAAACTATATAATGAACCCTCTCATTGAACACATAAATCAACATAATTCCAAGAGCTTCCAGTAAACCTGAAAGCCATCTTTGTATCCAGTTCATAAGAGAATGCATTTTCTTCTCATTTTGATACTGTGAGACATCTTTGTTCAAAGTCATTTTTGCACCATCTCATGCTCAATCTCAGCGTTCATATTTTTATTAACATATTACCGGAAGATTAGCAATACTTGGGGATGCTTGCATGGTTCATGCTAAAGATAATGTTCGGACGGTTTCTCAGTATCCTTTTGCTCTAACAGAAATGGCATTTTATGGTTGAGCCTGTCTGTGTGCTGGGAAATTAAAGAGTTTAAGGAGCTAAGGATTTCTGTGATGAGAAGGAATAATTTAATTCAAACCATGTCCAGTCTGGATAGTGCCAGTATATTTTAACTTTTTTTGTGGGCTGCTGAGCTCCCTAGGACAGGGGTCCCAAATCCCCAGTCTATGGACCGGTACCGGTCCACGGCATGTCAGCAACCAGACAAGCAAAGCCGCATCCACGGGATGCAGGTAGCACACAAAAGCACGCACCCTCCAGTCTGCGGAAAAACCTCTCTCCACGGAACTGGTCCCTGGTGCCCAAAAGGTTGGGGACCTCTGCCTAGGAAGATGTATTGGGTACCCTGCTTGAATTCAGTAAATGTCAATACCATCACGCACCAAGTATCTCCACAGCACGTGTAGTATTTTTCCGGGCCCAACACTGAATATTTTCAGTTATTCCAACTTTGTTCACTATCACGTTTTGTTTATAATCCTAACGCACATGCTGTCTTCCAAGTCCTAACATCTTCTCCAATAGCCTAGAAGCATTCCGTTCAAATCTTGATAACGCTACTTGGAGATAAAGAGAACTGAACTTCATTCTGTTCTTGATAAGCTATCTGCAAATATTTAGCCAGTCCTGCAGAAAGGTGAGAATAAAGTACAGGTTTAATACATCTGACCGTCTTGGAGGACCTTGGAATACCATGTGCATTCCTTAATTTTCCATAGGCTACCACATTATGAGCACTCGCCAGAAGGCTAATTGGCAGATTAATTAGCTAAGGTTAATTTGTCCCTCGAACAATCACTCATGCTTTGGTCATCTCATGATTGGATTACTGTGATGTGCTTCTACATGGGGCTGCCCTTGAAGTCCACTCAGAAGCTATGTGGTCCAGAATACAGTGATGTGAACAGTGAGATGTTTGGATTGCACCCAAAACAGAACTTTATGAGATGTACTCAATACCAGTTTCTGGATGCAATTCAGGGTGCTGTTATTCACCCATAAGTTTTTTGCAGGATCTGGCATGGCTATTTGAGGGACCACTTGCTTTCCATATTTCCACTCATCACTGTGGTCAAATGAAGTGGACACACTTTCGGTCCTATTGACCAAACAATGTCTTCTGATAGCCCAGACCTCAGTGACAACTCCTGCTCTCTGTGATGACATCTACTGCTCCTATCTTATTGACAATCTGTAAACTTTTTAAAAAAAATGTTCTACCAAGTCTTGGGATAGGATGGTCAAATCTGTATAATGGGTTGTATGTGTTGGTGGGGGGAGGAATATAATTGTAAGCCATCCAGAGTAATTAAGCAACCTGAAAATTCAATGAAATAAATACAAACCCACACAAAGGTTGCTTATTTAGAACACACACACACACACACACACACACATGGATATGTATGGATTATTATTATTTTTACTAATGATTGTTCATGTTTTTATAAGGAGTGTTTTATGAATATTTTTATATTGTGTTTTTATCTGACTGTTGTACACCATCCAGAATCACTTTTGCTCAGAGGGAAAGCTACAGAAAATTTGATTAAGAAATAAATGAAAGAAATAAAATGTGGTTGTTGCCCCAGGTGCAGTTGGCTTTACTGTCTTGTTGATTTTATCAATTTTTAGTCTTCACCCAGAGTTGCGTGTCAAGGGGGGAGCCGTACAAATTAATACAGGTAGTCCTCAACTTACAACAGTTCGTTTAGTGACCGCTTGCAGTTACAATGTTTCTGAAAAAAGTGACTTACGACGTTTGCAGCACCTCTATGGTCACGTAATCAAAATTCAAGACACTTGGCAACTGACTCACATTTATGACGGTTGCAGTGTCCCGGAGTTGTGTGATCCCTTTTTGCGACCTTCTGACAAGCAAAATCAATGATGGAAGCCAGATTCACTTAATGACCGTGTTACTAACTTAGTGATTCACTTAACAACTGTGGCAGGAAAGGTCATAAAATGGGGCAAAATTCACTTAAGAAATGTTTTGCTTAGCAACCGAAATTTTGGACTCGGTTGTGGTCATAGGTTGAGGACTACCTGTAAAGTGTGTGTGTGTGTGTGTGTGTGTGTGTGTGTGCATGTGCTCTTCCTATTTCCAATAGACATGTTTGTTTTCAAAATGAATGAGTGGGGGAAAGTTAAGCAGAATTCCCATACTTAGACAGAATGATTTCTTCTTTCTACAGATAAAGTTCTGCAGACCAGTTTATTTTTGTCTCAGATTTTTCAACAAATGCAGACATCAGCAGAACAAGTCGAGAAGTCTTGAGAAAGTCCTTATTTTGTTCAAGTAGAGAGTAAATAATTCAAATGCTCGGGAAACAAGAGTAAAGCAGTGTTATTATGTGAGCTTGCTTCTCAGACGTGATCTGTGTTTTTGCTTGCTGAAAAACTGGACTTTTAATTGAAATGTATTTAAAATTCCATCAAAAATTGCTGTGTGGAATTTGAGAAGCTGCAATCTGAAAAGATGGTCCTTTGGGGGGAAAAAAGATTTTTTTTGGTCTGGAGAATGAACAAAGAAGCCGTGGCTCATTGAACTTGTCTTTTTTTTTTTTTAATTAAAAATGGTGTACAAATCCATTCATTAGG